ACCAACTTAGCAAGTTGCTTCAGGGTTTACGAACTAAGAAGACTGTTGGGTTTCTGTCAGCTGCCCTCACATCATGAAATGTTGACTCTGGTTATGATGACTTCTTTTGTCAAGGGTAATTTGAGTGAAAGTAACCAGGAGTTCAGTATCAACCAGCAAGTCCTCCAACTGTATGTAGCAAGTATTCATATAGGTCATTTGTTGCTACTTCCGTTGGGGTAGAGGAGTGACACCAAACCCTCAACCTGGAAACTGAACTTTGAATGAATGAATGAATGAATTTGAGATCATTTGTAGGTTATACTTTCTCCCATTTTTACTTTGATTTGTTTTTAGTAGATTTACATATAATAATTGCTTAGTTAAACACTTATTTACCTTCGGATACCATCCCATCCATCCATCCATCCATCCATTCTCTTCCACTTATCCTTGTCTGTCGCGGAGATAACACATGGAGACAGACAACCATTCGCACTCACATTCACACCTATGGGGAATTTAGAATTACCATTACTATTATAAATTATATTTACAACACCAATGCATATTTACTCTTACATCACTACACCTGGAGGATCTTCTTCTTCTCCTTTATGAGTTGCCACAGTGGTTCCATCACACTTCTTCTGTCACACTAAGCCTCTGCATGTCCTTCTTCACTACATTCATAAATCCTTTCTGTGGTCTTCCTATTTTCCTTCTGCCCAGCAGCTCCATATGCAACATCCTTTGTCATTTGTCCTAACAGTTAAAATAACAATCCACATAAAATACTTATAGTGTGGTTTTTCAGTGGGAGAATGTCACTAATCAATACAAATGGGTAAACTTGAAGGAGTGAACTTGATATCATATAATATACCTCATAAGTTAGCTTAGCCACTTTTTGATCCTCACAAGTCCAGAATCATCTTTTTTTTGTTTTTTGTTTTCTGAATCAGGTGTGTTCTCACTACTGGAAACATTCCCTTTAGTTTTGGTTAGAGGCACCACATGACACGCCCTGGCTCGCTCTCAATTCTATGCTAAATATGCTAAATAATACGCTAACTCTCAAAGCTGGGTAGTTTACCATAGCACAGAGATAAGAAGCTGTGTGCTCACAATGAGAGCGCTTTCAGTCCTCTTGACTCTGGCAAGAAGGCAAGCAAAAAGCTGTCAAAATCAAACTATTTTCAGGTTGCTAACGCTTAGTGTTTTGTGTACATGGATACAAGGATCTGTGTTTTGTTTTATGATATACACTGAACACTCTTTTCATTCACTCTGAAGAAAAACCAGGAGCACCTGCTTTAAATGCTTAAAATATCGAGTATTCTACAGTAAAACTAAACTGATCTGATGAGATAGTGAAACTATATCTTGCTCGTGGGCTTGGTTTAAGAAAGAATTGGAGAACACAGTGACGGTCAGGCTGAAAGAAAAGAGGAAAGGATAGAGTGATCAAGAAGGAAAAGGCAGAGCCTTAGGGTGACTTTTTTGACCTGTGGACTTCGACCTTTGAGTCAGTAAGAAGAGAAAAAAGAAGGATGAGAGATGATTTGCCTACTAGCTAGTCATCCCACTCATCCTCCATTGAGTCCTCTTTGTTTTCATCATCTTTGGCTTTTTTGTTTGGAGCCTCTGAAAAAATGAGGAACGAGAAACAATTTTTTCCCATCTAGCTTCGGGAAGAATATCCAGCTCTCTACATGTATGTGTGTAATTACACTTTTATAAGCGTCTTTGTGTGGACGAGTCTCCTGCCAGAGGAATATCTTCCGCCACGCTGCACAGTACAGCCTCGTGGCTTTAATTATGACAAATTCAATCAACAGGAGTCATAAACACATTCGGTGTTGACTGTGCAACAAATAGGTTTGAAGGACTGTCTGTCCTTGTCATGCAAAGATTGAGAGTTTAGTTTTATTGTACATGATCACGCAAGTTAAAGTTTCTGTATTTACAATGTCTAAGCACTGTGCCAGTTAGACCCAAGTGAGTTCTAGCAGTAGAAATATGCAGATGCTGACATTTGTACATGCAGCTAATTTTATGCATGTGTGTGTTTGTGTCTATGCTTCACTATGTCATCTGTGTTGTCTACCTTTTTTTTTTTTTACCCTGCAGGCACTCTTCACTCTGGAGATGTGACTTAGGTCAGATATAAAAGCTGATTTTTCTACACATGTAAAAATCAGTTGTAAAGCTTGTAACACTCATTTATGAACTAACATGCTCTTTTGTCATCTTATATATGTGGAGGAGTTAAAGTGTAATAATCTTAGAGCCAACGCAAACTGGGCTTTCCCATGAAAAAGTACTGTTTTAAATATTCTAATCAAATGCACAAACTGATTAACTGATGTTTCATTTGTTTTTAGTTAATATCAAGTGAGAAAACTGAGAATTTATTTGAAGGCAGCTGATATTTAATTATACACTACATGTATACTACAGAGCTTCGTTTGCTGATTTAGCTGCGTTGTGTTGTTAGCTTAATTAAGCTAAAGGTACTTTTGTTAAATACATTTTTACCAATTTAGCAAGCAACTGAATCTTGTTTCCTCACATTTCTCAAATGGTTACATGGTTTAAGGGTCATTGTTTAAGGCTATTTTTTGTTCTATGCTGAAGAATTCTCTTTCAATTCTTCAGCATAGAAAACAGTAGCTTAGCATAATCCGTAGCCTAGCTTAATGACAGATCTAAAGAGCGTGCTATTGAATGCCTAGTGAATTAAATCTGCTATGCTTAAAATGTTTCTTAAAATTTGTCTTTCCATATTAAAGGAGAGGAATAGGATGGTAAAATGGATGATTTAGCGTATTTCAGTCTTCACTCATGCTATAGGTATCTTAATTTCAAACCCACGTTGAACATTCTCTTCATTCTCGGTGAAAGATCGATTGATTGATAATACTTTATTCATCCCGAGAGAAATTGGGTTAAGGCTGCCAGCCGTGCCAGCGCCATCCTTTCTCTTTTTTAATCATTACCTTTTAGACCAAACTACTTCTTAAAAGCTTCAATCACTTTTGAATGAACTCAGACTCAATGTGTCCCTGTGGGAAAATGCTCCAAGGTCCAGCACAGCTCAGCATGGCTAGTGACACTGTGTGGGAGGCCATTACTGTTATAGCTGCATGGACTATGATCGTAATTAATCTGAGGATAGCCCATTACATTTGCATGATCATATTGCCTCTCTCCTCAATGAGTTTCAAAGGTTTTGTTGAGTGCTTCTTTCTCCCTGGTGTCTCTCCTCTTGACTAATTTGTGAGAGGAATATCCAATAGGACGTGTCAGCGTAATTAGCTGTGTCCTGAGGTTGCATTAGCTCACACTCTCTGCCCTGTCACAATAGTGCACAACACTTGTGTCAGAGTCATTACCATACTTTTTCATATCATCAGACATGCTTCCTGTCCCGCAGAGTAGAGATAGCCTGAAGTAATGAGCCTGAAAATTTCACCTTCAAATGCCTCTGAGGACCTTAACCCCCTTCTGTCAAAATAATATACTGATGTGTTTGTGCGCACTGCTCATAGAGTAGTGTGTATACAGAGATGCATGTGCTGGTTAAGAATAATCAAAATGTCAGGATGCACGGAGACATGGATCCCTTATTACATATAACTCGTGTTCTTCTCATTTTAATCTGGTTAAGAATTAGCCATATAAGTGACTCTGGAATTCCATGTACTTGTCTTTGTGATTACAACTGTTTTATCACATGAAACCTTTTGGGGGAAGTCTTATGATCCCAATGGTGATATTTGTTTGCCAGGAGTCAAAACATTATTGTGTGGGGTATAAGAAGGTTTTAAAAGTTCTGCAAAGCTTTCTCACACCATGACTACAAACCTGTTAAATCCGGAACTCAATTAAATAGAACCTTTATGCTCCAGCTCCATATAGCCATATCTATTCTGGACTACCTCGCAATTCCCCACATGAAACTCAAAGTAAAGCAGGAAGGAATTTTCCATGAAGGAAAAACAGGATGATGATTTCAGTTCATGCACACTGCATAGGACATGAAGGGGAAAAACAAACATGCATAATGTCCAGCTCCCCATGGCCCAGTTTAGAGCAGCCCATTAATGCCAACACAATTCTGTGTGTTTGTGACAGCTTATCAATCTGCATCTATTTGTTTAGAACTACGCAACAGAAGCCGAGGCTCATGTTTCATGTGTAACTTGATATATATGACACACTGGCAACGATGGTGCTTCTAATGTGATATGTATTTGCATGCATGTGCCAATCCGTGTGAGGCTATATCTGCAGCAGAGCTGCGATCGTTCCAGCTCAGTGCACTCACATGCCATATGTTTACAGGCACACACGTGGTAGGAGGGACATCTCAGCAGTGCACATGCTATGTTTGAGTGGCTATTTTGTCTGGAGGTCAATAAAATGTGAATGCAGCTAGCGCCAAATAAGTCAACACAAACTGCCCAAGCATATTAGTCTGTGTCTGCTTTTTGGAATATAACACCCAGATGATTAATTCTGACAGCACCTACACTCGGAAGCTCATTGTGCCGGGCCAGTCTATCTCGCTGGCATTTTCATCAGAAGAGAAAGTAAACAAAATGAAGAAGGACAGATGCATGCACACTGCGAAAGTTGTTTAAGTTGCAAGGATGGGAACCCGGTTTGTTTGGACTTCTCCTGCCAGTGTCTTTACATTGAACGAATGATAGCCTATGCATGACTATGAGTCACTTCCCAAGCATGACTCTAGATACCCAACTTTGGAAATAACCTTGCAGAAAAACTAAAGTAAACTTTCCATTGTAGTACAGAGTAAATATTCAGCTCTATTTACCTGTAGTTCATTTGAATGGATGGACTCATGCTCACATTATTTAACCATATTTGTATACATGTGAGGATAATGCGTGTGCACTTGTTTTTTGATTCTGAAATCTTTTTTGCCATTAAAATTGCTGAGACAAATCTCAGTAAGTTTTTCTTAGTATTTTTTATTCCTCTGTGTAGTGCAGGTTCAGACTTCTTCACGCTGTCTACAACCTTCACCTCTGTTGGACCTAGGGGAAAAGGTTTGCACCGTGCCACTGACACACCTGAGCATGGACAGGAATAGGAAGTGGGTGCCAGGCTTCGGAGCTGTGCTGCTGACACTCCTAAGTCACATGACTTCAGCACTTGAAGTGCCTCTTGATCGTAAGCGTTGCCCTTTACATGCTCTGTGATTGTAAGACTTGATGTTACGCTTGTATAATTCTTTTCAAACTAATGGAATTTCAGCAAAATCCTTTCACATTGTGGGATAAAGTGAAGATATTTTACCTCATGAAAATGTAGCAATAATCTATTTCTATCCTATCTATTCTATTTCAACTTTGCATGTTTCAGCATGGTGTTTTGCAATGAGATTTTAAGGATTTCTGTTTATCTTGATATCACACAATCTGTTTGAACCGTTGAACATCTTCATCTACTTTTCTAGCATTTATTGCACCTGCCTTTCTAAACACCCTCCCCTCAAAAAGTGTGCAGGCTCAGTCAAATGCTTAAAAGTACCTGAATCTATTTCACCTGAACCTGTTGTTTAGTCCTTGCAAAAACTAACACCTTTCCTCAATATTCTATTACTGTGGTGTGGCATGTCACGGTGGACAAAAAGCTAAAGTACTGGAAGGATGTAAGTTTCCCCAAACACTGGTGTGGTTTCTGGTGTGGAGTTTTTTAATATCTTTGGCGAATGATGTGCATGCACTTATTTCAACACTGTAAAAAGTGGTGCTTTGTAGATGTGATGGTAAGCTGCATAGAGTGTTTCATCTATAAATGTCTTGATTGTCGCTGCTTGTTGCATGCTGCTTGTACATCCTCTGTTTGAACACATTCAGCATTATTCAGCACATTCGGGTTTTGTTGTGCTGTGTATCTAAACTACGCTTCTTTTCGTGTTTCTTCAGTGCCACAGCCCCCTACTATAATATTACAGTCCCCAAAGGATTACATCTTTGATCCACGCGAGAACATTGTCATCCACTGTGAAGCCAAGGGGAAGCCTCATCCCAGGTGAAGAGAATCCCTGCAATGCCTAATGAAGGATTTAGTGTCAAATTAGTAATTCAAATTGGCCTGACACATGAATAAATGTGCCATAACATCTTCTTCTGCTCCATGTGTTTCCTTCATGGCTCTATACTTCTTGATTCTAGCTTCTCCTGGACAAGAAACGGGACTCACTTTGATGTGGAGAAAGACTCCAAAGTTTTAATGAAGCCCGGTTCAGGAACTCTGGTCATTGATATCAGCAGCGAAAGGGCTGAAGCTTATGAGGGAACTTACCAATGCATAGCTAACAATGAGCATGGCACTGCCGTATCTGACAGCATTGTCATCAGGCAGTCCAGTAAGTCTTCTCTTTGTATTTAAATGCATACGCTCTAAAAGCTTGGGCTTTAAAAGTGACGACTAGTTGAGTACAAATAAATATTATCCACTCTACATTAACCTCTTGGTGTTGATGTTTGTGACTCACAGGGTCCCCCTTATGGTCAAAGGAGAGAAATGAGGCCATCATGGTGCAGAAGGGGGTCTCCCTTGTGCTGCAATGTCGACCCCCTGCTGGGCTGCCCCCTCCTGTCATCTTCTGGATGGATAATAGTGAGTCGTGTGTACATATTTGCAGACATATAAGGTGCAATGACTAAAGAATTTCACCTTCACAAACAAAAGATTGGGTCAATCCTTTCTGACCCATCTCATTTCTGAATGTAGTTGATAAAACAATCTCGTGAGCTAATGGAAGCTTTTTGCATTGTTAAGTTGCTTGTTTCTCACCCTCCCAGACTTTCAGAAGCTACCACTGGATAAACGAGTGTCCCAGGCCCTGAATGGAGACTTGTACTTTTCCAATGTTCTCCCAGAAGACACCAGGAGTGACTACATTTGTTACGCTCGCTTTCCTCATACACAAACCATCCAGCAGAAACAGCCGATTTCAGTCACTGTCCTGGACAGTAAGTCAAAACTGGTTTAAATAAGCAATGGATTTCTCCTTAAAGAAGCCAAAAACTCAATTACTTAAATTAAAAAAGGACCTTTTTTTGAGTTTCTCACAATATTTTCTACTGAGCCAAGCTGAAGTCAGCTCAGCATAGATTTCCTTATATGGTCATCTCACATGAAAAGGAGTTCTGTTTGTGGAAGCCAGATTAGGGGCATCCAATCAGAAAAACGTAGGCTTTTTAAGAGGAAGGAACTAAAACGACTTGTTTCAAATAGAAGAGGAACTGAAGGGTTTTTAAAACCATGCAAAGCATCTCAAATGGAATCCTAAACTATGAAGCTACGCAGCTAGAAATAACTATGGAGCTAAAAAGGTCTGGTCTAAGCTTGCACAAGTCATTTCCAGCATTTCACATTTGAAAACTTTCAGTTGTTATTGTAAACTGAATATTAGTATTTTCTCCTTTGTCAGACACCCTTTTACTTTACAACTTTGTTTCCTTACTTCACTCTTGCAAAACTGTCGTAGATAAATGTTAGTTTCTGTTTGTCTCCCCTGAGCTCTGTAAGGGCATTGATTTTATAATGTCCTTATCTCAGTCTCACTAATAATAATTGTGTAATTATTTTTATTTTATTTATTTGTTGTTATTTTCAATTATGGCTTTGGGTGACACACATACTTTGCTTTACAATGTAAACTAGGAAATGCATTTCCTAGTTTTGCATGCTTATGATTCTCTGTTATATTACAGTGGAAACAATGAATGAGACTCTGGCTGCTTTATACAATATCACTGATTTCTATAGTGGTGAGTGCTGGTTTATACCCATTCAGCCCCCTTCACTGTAAACCCGGCCCTGTTTTTACTGCCCTGCATAACCATATCTGACTTACACACTCACTCACCTTTAACTTGGCCTCAATCCCCTCCTCTGTAAGTAACACTTGCCCTTCCTCAGGTTTCTCCTACTTCATTCAAATTAAGCATTAATCAATACAAGCAAGATACAAAGTGTGATACAAGGTAAAATGCAACTCTATCAATTAATTGTTACTGACAGTTTGTGGCCTTTAAGTAATTATCTATAGTCACAAATTAAAGAACATTATTATGTTAACATTATTTTTACGTAACATTGTTCGTCTCCACCTTGTGAAACTTGATATGGATAATTTGCCATTTTCTGACCTTTCCTGCAAATTCTGGTCCTTTGGTATTTGAACCCTGTATCAAAACATGCTGGCACTGTTCTCTTGACCAAGGCTGGAGTCAGTCCAGCTGTGCATTTATATGCATGGGTTGTTTACTTAAACAAATGCTCAGGTCTTTCAAAGACATCCCCTTTGCTCTGGTATTGTCTTTATGCTGAAAGTAAAGACTTTCTTTTACATTCTACTGAACCATCTCATCCACAATTTGTTTTTCATCAACACTACATTTGCCTCTTCCTTTGCCCTTTGAAAATGTAAATCATCCCTGAGGTTTCTGCTCTGTTTTATAGGAAGAGCAGTGTTAAAGTATAATATTTTGGTCTGTTACTAATATGGTCTTGTGCTCTGACCTGTTCAGGCAGCCCAGAGGGCGAGCGGCGTCCTGGTTTTATGCTGCCTCTCGGCACCACCAGCACCAAGATGGTCCTGAGAGGGCAGACTCTGGAGCTAGAATGCATCGCTGAGGGCTTGTAAGTTGGCATATGCAGTAACTACTCCAAGGGTTTATGTTTACTCAAATTAGTGCCGCAGTGTCTGAAAGAGAAGAAAAACTAACTGACTGGAAGAGTTGTTTGCTGTAATCTCTTTTCTTCTGTGATAGGCCGACTCCAGATATCTCGTGGCAGAAAGAAGGAGGAGAGCTACCAAGCAACAGAGTGTCCTACCAGAACTTCAAGAAAACACTGAAGATTTCTGATGTGAATGAAAATGATGCTGGCAACTACCGCTGCGTAGCCACAAATAACTTGGGCACTGTACACCATACCATCAAGGTCACTGTCAAAGGTAGGCAGATCAGCTCAGTCATGTTACTGATGCCCTTAAATTTGTTTTACAGTATTACCATATTTTATTCTGAACCCCAATTTTTATTCATAAATGCATTCTAATGCAAGCAGATAAATACACATTTGAATCTTCCATTTATAGAAACAACCAGTGTCTTCTCTCCTATATTACGTTAAAAGCTAAAGAAAGATTTATAGTGATAGCTCGTCAAGAATTTCACTGAGCATCTTCAGTCTTGTTCATTATCCCCAGCGGCTCCTTTCTGGGTCAGCATTCCCAGGAACCTGATCCTCGCCCCTAATGAAACTGGCGTGTTGACTTGTCGAGTCAATGGAGAACCCAAACCAAGGATAGACTGGTTTGTCAATGGAATTCCCATAGAGAGTAAGAAAAATTAGATCACTTCTAATTTAAAGCAGACACAATAGTAAACTTGATTAGCTGGGGACTGAATTCTCAGTTCCAGCTCATTTTCAATTAAAGATGATGATGTAGAGATCATCTTGCCCTGTGCTAGACACTCCTGTGGACCCCAGCCGCAAGGTGGAAGACGACACTGTGATTCTCAGCAACGTGCAGTCAGGGTCCAGCTCTGTCTACCAGTGTAATGCTTCCAATGAATTCGGCTACCTCCTGGCGAATGCTTTTGTCAGTGTTCTTGGTGAGTTAAAACATCTTTATTTCATATTAGAACTGCCCCATACAAATCTTTAGTTAGAAACGATTTAGAAAATGGCCATATTAATGAGTTTTACCAAGCATCTTCTCTTTTTTTTCCTCTAAAGCTGAACCACCAAGGGTCCTCACTCCACCTAACCAAGTGTACCAGGTCATCACCAACAGCCCTGCATTACTACACTGTGCTTCCTTTGGCTCGCCTATTCCAACCATCACATGGTAACTGTCAGCTCATTTGAAATATTATTAGATTTCAAAGCTAAGATGCACTGTACTGTACTTGAGCCGCCTTGGTTGCCATTTCTATGCAGGTTCAAAGACAGTCAGATCAGCATTAAGAATACTGACCCATATGTAATCCATGAGAATGGTACTCTGGAAATAAATGTAGCCCAGCCGCTAAATAG